TGAAATATTAGTGTGACCAAAATAAAGCTTTGACCGCAAAACTTCCTGTTTTTCCTATGACTTGCAAGGGAGGCACATCAGGCTACTTTGTTAACATTTCTACTTCTATAACCTGTTCAACTTAACTTTCATTGTGTGTCTTGTATGTGAGTCAGGGAGAGGACAGAGGCAGCTTCCAGGGCAGCATATCAGAATACTGATATTGGCCCTGTGCCCTGTACCCAGTTAGAATTTTTGCTGTCCTGGTTCTGTCATCTTAGTCTTGTCCCTTGGCAATGAATCCTGATTAAGAAGGAGGCAGGGTTTTACAGTGATTCAGCTTTCCTAATTGACTGATTATTGAGTGAAAATCTACCTGAATTTCACCATTTGCCAGCTTTTCTTCACACCATTTAGTCTTGGACTCCTATTTTTGTCTCTTCCCTTTTTTTTTATGTGAGGGGGAAATAAGTAGATCCATCTTCAATATCTAGAATTCATGCTATAAGCAGCCTCTAGCTAGTGGTGTTCTGTGGAGCAATAATTTAAATATCAACACTTGGTTTTGCTGCAGGGCAAGACTGCTGAGGAGCAGTGGGGGAGCAGGCCTGTTTGGGGATAAAAGTACCGAGAATGTGTTTTCTGTCAGGATCAATGATGTAGACGTGATGGTGCATGTTAGCCTCTATGGCAACTTTTACTAAAGATTTTTTTTTTTCTCCTTTGGATAACTTGATAGTTGTAACCTTGCTTCCCAGAGTACTTCAGTATCGGGTAGTGTTACTAATGTAGTGTGAGGTAAGCCTCCTGTTAAATTACTGGTTTGTCTCCACCTCTAGTGGAAAATTCTTATCTGTGTAGTCCCTGTATGAGAGGACAGCATTCGAAAACGTAGCTTTGCTGAAGGGACAAAGTAGTCCTTAAACTCTGAATTTCATGTTTTCAATGTATATAAAAAGGTAATTTAAGAATACCTTATGCCCAGAGTGTTGCCATTCTTCTCTTATTCGGAGGATTAATATGGTAAAACCTGTTAAGGACTCATTTCCTCAAGGCTTTTTTCTTTAACCCCAAGTAGAACTGCCAAATATGCAGCTTACATTCTTAGATAAGCTTAATTATGGGAATTTTGGCTCTGTGGTTTTCAGTTTAATAGTGGTTTATATTCAGTTGGATGGTATCCTTGTGTTCTTATGAAGATTAAGCTTCTAATAGGTTTTTTCCAAAAGGATCAATACTCTGACTCCTCAGGAATTAAGCTGAGCAGCAGTTACTAAAGATACTGCTACCTAAAGTGGCTCTGTATTGATTTTTTTTAAGTTTGTCAACATGATTATTTTTGTGAACACTGAATTATTACTTCTAATTGGGCTTTGGGGGTTTGAGGAGGTTCTGGTTTGGATTTTCCTTTGTTTTTTAAAGAGTTTAAGCTGTGTTGGTGTAACACACAAACATGTTTGCATTGCTGGTATGTAGAACTTGTACAAACTCAATCTCCTGCTATTTGTTTAAGGAGTTGGGTGTATGATTGATTCCTCTGAGTATTGCTCAATAACTTTTTTCAAATATACTCTTAATGTTTAATGCCCTGTTATGTATTAGTATACAGCTTGCTTCATTGATGCAGAGAGATCCTGTATTCCTGACTTGTAGCTGTTCTTTCCTTCTTCACGTTTTCCCTATAGGAAAAGCCCAAGTTACTCGGATCTAACAATGGCACCAAAGGGAAAACTGAATACAGTTTCTTTGCCCTAGCAAAAGAGTTGGGCTGTGAAAGAACCGTGTAGCCATAGTGCTCTTATGTTCTTGTATATGGTTTGTGGAAGTGAGTGTTTCCATGAGGGCTTTATATCAATTTGTCTGATTGTTAAAAGTAGGCCCAAGAATCCATTTAATTAGGGGAGGAGGGGTAGAGAAGGGAAGAACCTTTTCACAGGGTACAGAACAGCTCAAATGTTGGCTTTTGTGAAGTTGTCCTGTGTTGGGTGGTGAGGTTTTTGTTTTAATTATTATGGAGTCTAATATTGCAGATTATTTAGAGGCTGTTATTTCTTGCAGTGGAATTTTGCTAATACTTTCTCTAAAAAATATTTTTACATGTTTTGCTCATGACCTGCTACTAGGTGGTGTAGTTTGTGTGCTGTTCTTGTCATCTTTTATAACATGACCAAAAAAAAACCAAGCATGTAATGGGGTTAGTCTGTGTTAGCAACGTTTTCTGTCTGCCTTCTCTAACACCACAACTGGGCATAGTAGCAACACTGAAAGGAACATCACAGGCAAAACTGCACCATTCGGAGCAGGGCTAGTGTGCCCTGCTTGGGACATCCCACAGGAAAAAAGGCAAGTAATGTTCCCTAGAAAAGAGAGGAACTAACAACTAACAGGTTGTGGTTATGAAGTGAAAATCTTCCCCAGGAAAATGTGTGGATTTTATGCAGCAAGTTGTTTGTGATTTTGCCCAGTAGTTCTGTCACCTTGTCTCAGATCATCAGTTGTTGTGACATCGCAGACCTGGAGGTCTTAAACATGTTACATGATTTTCCAGTGAATAACTTGGAGATGTTAGTAAAAGAGCACAGACAGATTCTTATTATTCGGAGTCTGTGGTGCATATGTGACTGAGCCCTGGAATGTCATCAATTGTATGTTGTTTTTTTATCAGAAAAAATACTATTTTTTTTTTCCCAGACAACTAAGTAATATGTTGACAGGGCTAATAAGGTTAAAGCATTAAAACAGCTTATTGTGCTGTCACCTATTCAGATAATAGTGTCCCAAAAGTTGGACAGACGGTTCTGAGAGGGCAGCCTTGTAAACGGAGGGTGGTGCATGGCCTCTGTTATATAACAGAGACCTTAATAATAGAGGTGGTCATTGTATTTGCAAAGCCCATAGCTCAGTCATGTAAAGTTGAAAGCCTTGGTCCCTGTATCTTGGCTCTTTGAAGATTGCTGCTTAAGATAGTTATGAATTCCTAACATGTTTTTACAAATTTTGGGGATAGAATCCTTCAGGGAATGTCGTTCTTTGTCTTTTCTTCAAATGATATTTCAGAATGTGGTTGCCAGATTCACTAGGTACTAGGGAAGAAATTTTTCTCTCTGGAATATTTTATGTATGACTGAAGAAAAACTTACTGTGGAGAATTAAACTAATGCCATTTTATATTAATTTGAATGTCAGATGAGATGTAAATTATGGAACACTACCTCAAATTTAATTTGACATAAGGTAGAATTTTATTTCCATTTCCCCCCTGAAGTGGCATTTGCACATTAGCACACGTGAATGTTTACTTTTAACGCTAGTTTTTGTATAGTGAAGCAGTACCAAGCACTGACATTAAAAATGTGAGTTTAAAAAAAAAGGTGGGGGATTAAAGTGAGACGAGGGCACAGGAGTCCAGAACGGAATGTACACAGAAAAGGCCCATGAGAGAGCTAAAATAGCAGCAGCGCTTTTAATTTCATGGGGAATATGACCCCAGTTTCAAACAAGAGCAGGCATGTTTACTTTATGGACAATGAAATCTGAAGTCTTAGCTGTCTGGGGGAAGGTGATAAGAAATGACCGTCTTGTTACGGTGCTTCTGGCCATCCTCTGAGATCTGTTAACGGACCCTGGAATTCTAGGAATTTCTTCACTCCTCACTTGTTATGCTTTAAGAATTTCTAAACACTTGGAGTAAATGGTAAATCAGGGTAGTTCTTTCTTTCACTCTTCTATAATCTTTTTGTTGCTGCTGGTAAATGTCTATGCCTGTGCTCTATGAAATACATCAAAGTTTCTTATAGAACAGAGTTTGATGGTGGTGAGAACATCCTCAAAGTTGGCTATTCAAACGTACAGGTAGTTGGAGCCTATTGCTCTAAGCGCTGGAGGATGCTGTGACCAGCTGTAAATACACACTGCTTTGGGGTGCTGCTGGGGCACCTCATGAGCTGTTGCCTTCTTCCTGCTTTTTCCTCCAGCTCTTGTGGAGGCCACCCTCTACTGTAGGTGGGAACCAGCCCTGAAGAGCTGTTTGAAGTGATCAGAAGGGGTTAAACTAGCTGAGAGTTGGCCAGTGATACAGGATAGCAAAACAGAGACCAAAGGTGAATAGTATTTTACTGCATGTAGAATAATCTTGGCAAAAGTCTAAGTTTTCTGTCTAGATGCATCTTGATGCCTCTTCCTGGTGCGTTCCTGCTGTCATTGCTGCCCCCTTACACATCTGTAGCCACCTCAGCTGAAAGTTTCCATCTCATGTCTCTATTTGGTGTAAAAATTACAAAATAAACAATACAGATGTGTAAGATGTGTAAAACAAAGGCAACTGTCGCCATATAAACAAGCATGTTTACTGTTTATGTTGTCAGTGATTGTTTATTTTGGTTAAACTGGGAAGTATTTTAATTATTAGTGTAACTGAGACAAAAGTTATTTATACCACAGTGGAAGGTCAGAGTTGTTAGGGCTGAAGCTCCTTGTTCAGTGGTTTTGCCTGACCTGTGCTATTGCTTTTAACAGGTTAGTATCTCAGTAGTTAACTCCTTTAATCAAAGATTGTTGCTAATAGCACATGCCACATGTGTGGGTGTTTTTTTTTTTTATGGAGGATAAGAATTTAGATAAGATTTAAGTGCCTTCCCATTCTCATTTGTGAATGTTGTGTTGTATCTTTTTTAAAAAAAATCACCTGCTGCATTTCTTGAAGTTTGGTTTGTGCTTATTTTAAGTGCCATTAGTTTCTGCAGACAAAACATAGCTAAAATGTATTACTAAAAGTAATGTGCTGTGGTGTGTCCTGTATATCTCAAACTTGTTTCACCCACCTGAGTGGTTGAGACTTTGAGTCTTTCCAAATGATTGACACGGAGAAGAGCATATCTTGCTTACTCCTCTTCAGAGGCTTTGTTGGTGTCATTCCTGCTACTTGCTGTGCTGTGTTAGTCACCTGATGATTGCCCTCCATGCAGCTCCCCTCAGGAAGGTGGTTTTGAGCTCCTGGTTTGAGTAACCGTCTCTGCTTCCAGCAGGCCGGAAGAGCGGCTGCCGCTGCCTGGGAACGGCAGGAGAAGCGGCGGAGGGGCCTGAGCGGAGGCATCGCTCGCACATGAGGTAAATCCTTGGGCGCTGGGCACGAACTCCGTGGGAGCTGACAAAGCCGTCGCCATGGCGACGGCGGCCTGCTGCCGGGAATGCTAAGCTGGAATGCTAAACTGGAATGCTAAGCTGGGCTCAGCGAGGAGCTCCAGCTGCCGCCCAAGGGGCAGCCTGGGCAGAGCATCACCCGCGTGCCCCCCCGGGCGCCTTACACCCTAGATCACACACTTGGCAGTGAGTCAGGTCTGATAGCGAGAGCGGGGAATAACAGTTAGAAATCTGGCGTTTCCCCTTGAACTTTGAGGCACCAAATCTTGTTTACCCAAGCTCCTGTCGCACTAGATTAACTGAATTTACCCTGCCTCTTTTAGAAATATAACTAGTAGCCCAGCTTGTGACAAGAATTTGTAACAGCAGCTGAAATGAGCACCAAATGTTATATTAAACAGAAAATTTAAGTATCTTAGAAAGCAGTTTGTGTTTCTGCAGTAAAACAAGTTAAAATCCACTCTTGTCTACCGGCTACATGTGAGCAATAAAATTACTGTACACGCATACATCAGCGTAGTATACGCCAAGAGACTACAAATGTATCTTGCATGTATTTTTACAGCAAAAGTACAGATGCTGAAGAGAGCAATATATGGAACTGAGTTGTACGGTTGGATGATAGGATTTTTATGGTCTTGCTGTTCCACCTTTTTTGCAGGAAACGCTTTATTCTTATCTGTTCTCTAGCTTATGAATCTTTTCAGGTTGCTGGCAAAGGCAGACTGGCTAGGACTTGAGCTGTGACCCTCTTGATTGCTGTCACTGAATCAACAGACAAGCAGCCTAGTAAAACTGAATGTATGTCTTAAAATAGGCCACAGTTATTAAATGCAATACCAGCGTGGTACAAAAATGTGTTTACGATTTCCCAGTCTTTGCATGTCATCCAGTTGGTTTATGCAGTTTATGAAACTGGAAACTAATCCTGCATTCTGAATTTTCAGTTTCACACATTTCTCAGCATTTTATTGTTGCCAGTTAACATTCTTATCTCTCTTGTACAAATATGAGTTAGAGAATATGGTGAAAATTACATTCTTTTTAAGAGCTTAGATGTGTTTGTTGTTGATCCACAGATATCACACATTGAAGTGAGAATGGAATGTTAAAACCTCATGGTGCACTGAAAGCTCTTTGAAATACACATTGAACTGAGTTACTGTGCTTGACAGCTTCTCTAATGAGCACTGGTCTGAAATGATTAAAAATAAGAGTCAGATGGGTATGAAAGGAAACACTTTCTTCTAATCCTAAGACTCTGCCGATGGCATGTAATTAGAAGAAATCATATCAAATACTGTAGACTTTAATTAAAAAAAAGTCACTGTCTTGAATGTATCCCCAAGTTAAGATAAAGAGGTTTTTTTTACTGTAGGATTTTTGAAATTGAGGAACGGCATCAAGAAGTCATAGGTCTTGTAACTTTTAACTATTTTTGAGAATATCAAGCATTCCAAGTACTAACGTTAGTTTCAGTTACTTTCTATTGTTTCCTATTAGATACCTCTCAAGTTTTTTTTTTCTCCTATAAACTCCAGTTTTTAATTCTCACCCCCCAGAGGTTAACTTTTTTATTGTGAAGATATATTTGTATTGTTGAAGAAACAAACAGATGATGCAGTGAAAGCTGGAAATTATTTTTTGGTGCAGTGAGCTTTTGTTCATGGCATTGCTAGGAACATTACTTAATGATAGTTTGTGTTCATAGTATTGCTTTTTGATGACCTATGTGTTGCTTGGAGGTTTGAAGCAGCAAATAAAATAACCAGCAGCCCCACCAGTAGATGAGCTATTAGTAATACATAGTAGGGATCTCTAGCATAGTAATTTCATCATAATTTAGGCACCCAGAAGCATCTAGGATACTTAGGTGACTTAAACTATTTTGCTGCACATCAGTAGCCTACTCTTCCTCTCCTAATTTGTTTCTGAGTATTTTAATATATCTCATCTGTCTTAGTGTCATCAGTCTCAGCTGGTGATAGGCTCCTTTGCATACTGCCTGATATTAAAATATGTATTACCTCTGCTCATGAGGTACTTGCAGATGTAGGTTTGACTTTCTTAAAGTGAATCAAAATTAATGACATTCAGTTGGACCCGAGCACTGAAATTCCTTACAGTTGTTAAGAATTTGCCACTTTAATGAGCCCTAAAAAGGGAACTATCAAATCTAATCTTACTGACAGAATTTTAAACATCATCAAAATATAACACAACCTCAGCCTCAAGAAAATGTTGTTTTTACTGTTTCAAAGCTGCTGAAATAGAAGACATTTAACTTACAGGATTTAATTACAGAAGCAATTAGTATTGCTGTATGCAGTGGGTTCTGGAAAGCAAGTCAGAACTTAAAATGCCTTATAGTACTTGCCTTCTGTCCCTTCCAGTATATCTGTCTTGCACAGCAAGATTTATATATGATTTTATATTTACATATTTTTTACAGATAGAACTTTGTTCACTGTGTTAAGAACTGCTGGAGAGATGGTGGAAACCTGATTTGGGGTTGAAGAGTGATGCATGAAGAGTAATGCATAGCTTATGAAGTACAGTTTTAGTTGGAATGTTAAGTGTAGTTAGCAAGACATCAGCCATGGTTCTTCTTCTTTAATTCTGCAGTTTTCAGCTTGCATTGATTTGTTTGCTGTTCATAGCTGCTTCACAATGAAGTTTTTGTTTGATACCTGGTGGTGGTCAGGGTAGTTAAAATGCTCTATATTGATAACTGTGCTTATGTTAGCAGTTTCTACAACCCCCCTCTGCAAAGAGTTAAGAAGAGGCTTCCACATGTGCTGTCCAGGACCATATTGGTCAGACCTGTGGCATGTAATTGGGCAGAAGACAATCATAAATCCTGCTTGTTTGAAAAGATCCATTCCTTATGTGGCAAGTGATACTGACAGTTCAAAGGAGGACGTAGAAAGCTGTAATTTAGCCCTCTAGATAGACAGATATCTTAATTTTTTAATTGTTTGAGGGCTGTTACAGGGAAGAGCTCTAGACCTGAGCTGTAGGTTTCTTTCTTGTGTTCTTATTTGGTTCACTGGAACTGGACAGTAACATTTTTTTTCAAGACTGATGTAGATGAGGATTTGAGATGTCAGAAGCAGACTGCAGAAAGCTGGAGTCTTTGGTTGCTGGAAGTTATTCCAGACTTGCACCATCCCCATGTTTTTATAGATGACCATCTAGTTATAGTTGGGAGGAGGTGTTTTGAGGTTGTTGTTTTTGAGAATTAGTTTTGGTTTGATTTTGGAGCCTCAGATTCTAGACTGTTCAATAGCAATCTTTCATATTATCTTTAGAATATTATGAGTATGATTGTTTTGTCTGCACTGCTTCTTGCTTGCCTTAGACATCTCTTTCTCTGGGATATTGAAACCACTTTCTATTTTAAATGTCTACAGTACTCTCTAAACTTCGATGCCAGTTTCCTAAGTATTGCTGTTAATAGAGTATTACAGCAGAAAAGTTAGTTTTAAGTTTATCACTTAAGAGACCTAAATAATTTGGACCTCACTGGAACTGAGCAACATGTGTTACTGACCACTTAGATGTCTCAGTTACTATGAAGAATATGCATACTTTTTGCATCTTGTAGGCATTTAACCTGAAAATATAGGCAATAATTACACATATGTCAGTTCTTATTTTTTTTCCCTGTGGTCTTCAGTGCTAATTCACAGATCAAATGAGTCTGCAATTTCTCATTCTATATATACATCTGTTTTGCTGCATCTTCCAACTTAACCTCAAAACAAATTCTTTGCTTTAGATAGCTAATACTGTAGCTAATAGCTACATTTGAAAGAGGAAATGCAGCCAATTGCAGTTTAAACGTTTTTGACAAGTTACTAAATTAAAAACTACATTTTTAAGTACAGATTCTTTTTACTGACATACTTAGCTTACACATTAATCTTAAGAAGTGTGATGGTATCTTTAAAGTCGCCTTTTACTCTTTAGATATCTTTAGACAGTGTTTGTGGCCTAGTGCTGAGTAAATGAACATCAAACTGTTTGGACACCTCAGTTAAATTGGTGCTTTTTGCAGTTTTGTTTTACCATAATTCTGCATGATGAAGCTGCCTTTACAGAAAGAGCTCCTTTTCTGTTGATAATTCTGCTAAATTGTTGTCTGCCTTTCTCTAAATCTCAGAGAGCCCTTTTTTCTGGTCCAGTGTTTTCTATAAAACCCTTTCCAAATAACTTTGTCTTATGCTTTCTTTAGAACACTTTCTTTTTTACTTAGGCAATGGTTGGCAATTGTACAGGCTCCAGTTCGCTATGCAGGTTTTGATGATTTTTTTTTTTATGGCCCTCCTTTTTTTTTTTTTCCCCTCTGCATGTGGGAGTTCTGAAATAGTTTTGCATATCAATGCTTTTGGGAAAAACAATTGAGTATCATGTAAAGGGAGGAAGAAAAAAGGAAACTTTGGCTACCATAGAAATGCTTAAATATTTACTTTGTGGAAGATCTCAGCAAAGGGATCTTCAGCAGTGACTAAACAGAGCGGGGGGGGAAAAAGAGGAAAATTTATTGTGCTGTATTTATCTGCATGGTACTCTTTAATACAACAAAAACTGTTCTTGCTTAGCATTGCAGACTGGCAGGAACTTGTGTAGGAGTTCTTGTTGCTCATACAGCCAATGCTGTACTATTGATATTTAATTTTGAGCTTAATTACATCTGCAGCCTTCCTTTCCTCCTCCAAATGCAAACATTTTCCTTTAAGAAAGGAAAAATACTTTTTTTTGGTACTTCCTGTGTTTCTGTAAAATACAACTGAGGTCTTCACAGTATTTCTTTTCAATTAGTATCTAAACAAAATGTGTTTTTAAGGAGCTCCAAAAATAGTTGGTAACTATGATTATCATGCACAACTATTTATATTAATTTTGTGTTCTTTTAAGTGGACATATTAGTGGACTTATATTTTATTGGTAATAATGTGTGTCGTTGAATGGGTAAAACAGAAGACTAAAAGAAAAGGTCAGTGTAGCACAGGACACTTACGCTGTATGTCTTGTATATAAGAGGCAAGCGGTTGTATTTTGCAGGATATGTGAAACTGTAACAGAGTGGAATGACACAGTCACACATGCACACAAAGATTTTTTTTTAGCCTATTTAATTCTTCTATTTGATACTTTATGCTTTAATATGTTTCTATAAAAAATAAAGAGCAGCTGCTAACCAGAACTCTCCAACTGGTGTCTTGAAACTTTATCCCTGCTTTAGATTTGCTTAATTTTTGAAGAATTGTATCATAGATCCGTCTGCTGTTAAATGTGGGAAGCAATGTCTGCATGAAGATGCCTCAACTTACAATAAATGCAGATATTTGTAACTTGTGATAAACAAGGTATTCCTTGACAAAGTTACCCTCAAGTACTCATACTTAGTATGTAGGATCATAAGTGTAGTTCACATTGGAGCTTTAAGAATGAAAGGATAAATTTAAACTGGGTGGAGACTTTTGAGAGAACTGCTGAGTTGCAATTGTTAAGTGAACATTTTATGCTTTGACCTGGAAATTTTAACTATTAGTTTAACAGTCCTAACACTGGCACGTGAAGTTTACTAAGAAATGTTATTAAGATCTGTGGGGGGGTAACCCTACTAAAGCTGTAAGAAGCTCTATGTAAACGTAGAGGGGAAAGTCCCAGTGTTTTTAAAGCTGCAGATCTGAGGAACTCTTAGGTGTTTGCTTCTTACTGCGCTTACTGAGTAAATTCTTTTGCATATCTTTCACCAGATTTTCTTCATGGAAGTTACTTCAACTGTATTGTGATGGAGGGGAAATATTTTTGAAATTATAATGGATTTTACACAGCATCATAACGAAAACTGGCCTTTTAGCAGCATCTGTGTGTGAAGAGAGTAGGCATAAGTTCAGATAACCATGACAACTTCTCATATGAATGGACACATCACGGAAGACTCTGACAGTGAAGTGAAAAATGTGGATCTCACATGTTCTGAGGAACCTCAGAAGCACAGAGAAATGGCTGTTGATTGCCCTGGGGATTTGGGCTCCAGGATGATGCCCATGCGGCGGAGCGCTCAGCTGGAGCGAATTCGGCAGCAGCAGGAGGACATGAGGCGCAGGCGGGAAGAAGAGGGAAAGAAACAAGAACTGGACCTTACTGCTTCTATGAGGCTTAAGAAACTGGCACAAATCCCTCCTAAAACTGGAATAGATAATCCGATCTTTGACACAGAAGAAGGAATTATTTTGGAGAGCCCCCATTGTACTGTGAAGACACTAGGTGGGTAGAATACATCATGCATGCTACAGAGAAAAGACTTAATTGAATATTGATGTTATATTCAGGCCCCTAAAAATCATTTTAGCTAATTCTTTTCAGAGTTGAAGTCTTCTCTTCTTTTGCCTTCATTTCCTTTCATTTAGCATCAGATAGTGTGCACAGCAAAGACAACCTGTGAAACATTAATAAATTAATTGGATGTCTCCATCGTCTTAGGGTAGGGAAATCTGTGTAAATATGACATATTCCTATTATATGTTTTGCAGAACATACCAGAATATGTAATAAATAAACACTTGCTGTCCTTCAAATTCAAGGTGTTTAAGGCTTTCAAGTGATGAAGCATGCTGTTGATTTCTTCTCTGCTGCATTGCATTATCAATTGTTACCTAATAGAATTTGCCTTTTTGCTTAATATGTTGTCATTGATAATGAAGGTAATCTTGCCTTGGCTCTTACATAAGATGGAGCTAGAGACGTTGCTGAAAATGTTTGAAATAACTTGCAATCTGTTTGTTCAAAACTACTAAAGTCCTTCATTTGGTAACTTTTATTAAACTTCAGTAGAAAACTGAACCCTTTTATAAGCAGAAGTGTTCAGCTAAAATGCAGTGTGGTACTGGAGTGAAAAAGATGCTGATCTGAGAATCCAGGTCACTTTTTAAAATCTGTACCTTTTTTTAAGATCTACCCTGCCTTAAAATGTGGGACTTTAGTTTGTTTTTTTTTTTTTTGTTTTAGGGTAGAGATACTTGTATTCTTTTTCTCATGACTGGTATTTGAGAATTCAGTATGAAAAACGGCCACCAGTTTGCTGGTTTTCTGTTGTATCTCTTTCACCATGAACCCCTTATGAAGAGATTCTTCATTCTACTCTTAGCAATCTCTTCATAATGGATAAATTCTGTACTTAATTTCATGAAGTTGCATACTGAGCAAGAAAAGGATGCATGAATTTGTGAAATTCTCTTTATAGAACCCAAAGCAGAAGATCAAAGACTGATAGCAGACAGTAGAGGCTACTTCTGCTAGACACTGCTGAGCCGTGAGGGCTATCAGCTCTGAAGACTTGCTAAGCAAGGAATTTCCTGGAAGTTGGAACTGTAGTGGTGGGGAAAGCAAGTTACTTGGAATTAAAGGAATTAGAAAGATGAGGCGAAGTTTCGTGTCAGAAATCTTGAGAACCAGGGGGAGAGCTAGGTGGAAATAAATATGCCAAGAAGTTAGGCATGGAAGCCATGGGAAAGAAATAGATGGGAGTGAGAAATAAGGGGCTGGCAAGCCTGAGAAAGGTGAGGAGTAGGAGTAGACTGAAACCTTTGGAACAGGGAAAACCCCAGTGGGAACTGCAGTGAGGAGGGGAGATGATTTAAAAAAAAAAAAAATCTTATCAATAGGGGGAAGAAACAGGAGCAGGCTGGGGGAAAGCTGACAGTTTGTCACAAAAAAACAGAAGCTTTTGTGAAAAGCTGGAAGGAGGAAATTAAGTCTGGCTGAGCAAGAAGAACTGGAGGAAGGAGAAATTGGTGTGGATAGAAACTGTGTTTGAAAAAGGATGTTTGTAGGAGGAAAAGCACAAAATGCTAGAGACAAGAATATAGCAGTGTCTGTGGAAGGAGATGAATTAGGAATGAGCAGTGAGGAGAATGTGTTAGAAGATGCCTCTTAAGGGGAAATGAGTAGCTGATTGTGTTCACTATGAATAGCTGCTTATTTTTCTAACCAGAAGCTTGGATTCTTGTTATTTTGTTCTCAGCACATGTGTGAAAATTCAGTAGTAAATGACATAAGGAATTACATGAGTAACTTTTAAAAAGTTTCTGATAAAATATGGGTTAAAATAGGAATATTGACCTAGTTGTCTTTAGTTTTCGAATATTGCTGTTTCATGGGTGCTGATGTTTGCTTTGGCAGGTAATTGCCAAGCCTTTAATCTTTTCAGCTTAAAACAGAAACAGGATAGATTAAACAAATTGGATTTTATTTATAAAAATAAATCAGAACACTTAATTAAGACACTCAAATGGCATGTTTATTGTCAAAACAGAATGTGTTTTAAACAGCTGACCTAATAGAAATAATTTTCAGACCACCTGGGACATGTCCATATAAATCACTTTTTCATATCAGTAGACTTTTCTGTAGGTATAGAAAAGTTTTTGTCCTTTTCAGTTTATTCAGCTAATTTAATAAAAACGAGTAACTGACATTTCAAGTCAATGAACCTGTTATTTGTGACTGTAATGAACAACTTGCTCTCCTAGGCAGATTCCACCCTCCTCCTTTTCGTAAATAGAAAATGGCAAAAAGTGTAGACATTACACTTTAAATAAGTCCTGTAGATGATTATAAATAAAACTTCTGTATATACATTCAGTATTAAAGCACAGAAGCTTAGTCCTGCCAGTCAAACAGCATATGGTTCACGATGCGCTAGTGCTAGCATATAGAGAATGCTGATAAGGTCCACAGAGAACTTGGAATTAATATATTGATGGTGATAACATAATGAAGCTAGTTGTCTCTTATTTGCTGCTCATAACTTTTTTTAAGTCCAAAAAGGTGCCAGAAAACGCTGTTTCCCTTTCCTCCTTTGCCTGTAGCCTGTTAAGCTGTGCCCGTGCCCTCCCCTGCAGTGGTGTGTATTTCCCCCGCCAGACTTTTGATTAATAGAGATATTAGAGCGCTCAGTCCTGTTGCATGCCATTTCTTAGGCTAGTGGGAAATGACTGCAACGTTGCTTGTAAAAGAAGATTTTGTAAAACAAAATAGTTGATGGCTGATGGATCGATCAGGGATACAAGGTGGACTGCGTCTGCAAAGAGCCCTCACTTTTTTTTTCTGTGAGTAAATGCAGATGATAAGCCATTTTACTGAACTTTTTTCTACTTTCCCTTTTAAATAGGAAGTACGGGATTTTTTTTGTTTTGTTTTGGTATCTGCTGTTTATTTAAAAAAGAAATGTACCTAACTCTCAACTATTTAATTTGATTTGAAAGGCAGAAATACAAACCCAGATAATATGTATGTTTTAAGGGTGTGTTTTTTTGGGTTTTTTTTGGTGTTTTTTTTTTTAATCTAACAAGTGACTTTGAGAATTAATCTCTGTGTCTGTGGGAATATTTGGTTTCACTCCATTCAAACATTGTTTTTCTTTTCAAAACTTGATTGGAGAAAGGGTGTTTGCTCTTATTTTGTCTGTGTGCGCAGCATCAGTTTGTGTAGGGCTTTATGTTCAGCACAGATGAAGATTTACTGTAGAGAGGCACTGAATGGGCAGGAGAGGTCTGTGGTAGGTGTAAAATTGAGGCAAAAATTGAAAAATCATTTTTTAAAAAAAGCTACATAGGGAGTAGAAAAAGATTCTCCGCTAGTGTTGCACTGTTCTTTTGAAACTGGTAAGAGTAACAAATACCAGAATTAGGTGCTCTTGTTTTTTCTGGACAGGTATTTGTGAAAGTCCTATGCACAGTAGCATCTGACTTTTATCCACTATCTTTCTTCTTATTTGCTTTTTTTTTGTCTGTGTTTGTTTTGTTCTTAATGCTTGAAAATAGCACACGCCCCCACTCTGAGGAGAACCAGTTTCTGAGTTGCTTTGGTAATCTCCAGGCCTTGCTATGCAAGACTCTTAGCAGGTGACAACATCCTATTTAGCAGCGGGTCTTGTAGACTGTTCTTTCCTCCTTCCTCTCCAAACTTAGTCTGCCACCGCTGTGTGGTGGCAAGCACATTTTTCCCGCTCTTTCCTGAGGTAGAGTTTTCATCACACAGCGGTGGCAGACACTGAGCGTAATTCCCACGTTCTGCGCTTCCCATCCGCATTGTCACAGCCTGTGCCTGAGTTTCAGGGCAGCTTCTGCCCTGCCCTTCTACTTGCTGGTGACAGGGAGGAGCCTTTGACCTGTGCTGGGGAGGAATAGCTCAGCTATGCCTGGAATGGGTTGGGGTGTGCTCTTTTAATTGGCCTGCAGTGCAGAAGGCAGCGGCAGTAGCTCTACTGTATTGTTTCTCTCTTTTCCTTTATTATGCAGAAGACTGACCTGCTAACTTAAAAGGAAAACATTTATTTAAACACACTTTGTCCGAAATTTCACATATTGAAATTTCATCAAAATGTGCCATTAGTCTTGTGCCACTTGATCAACCAATTCTAATCTTGTGCTCAACAGGCTTGTGTCTTGCCTTAAGTATACTGATGAATTTGGGTTAAAAATAGGTAAATGAAGCTCCCTGACAACATGTCTCTATGCTAAAGATCCATACCTGTTGCAGGTTAACTCAGCTGACATCTTGATGCATTTCACTTTTATTAAATGTTACTTAGGTCATAAAGGAGAGGTAGAGTTGGCTGCTGGAACTGAGGAATGATTCTCAGAGCTCACACTTGATTAATCTCAAAATTTAAAAATGTTTTAAAATTTAGAATTATTTTTTGTTCATTTTAAAAGGTTACCTGGATTCATAATTCTCATTGATTTGAATCTGCTGAAATAAGGTTACTGAAAAACTCCTTTGAATAGTTCTGTTGACAAAATGTGGTTTTTGGACAATGTGTGAGGATACATACACTCCTCATGTTTAAAGTATCCAGCAGTTTTATTTGGTCTGCTTGAAGATTTTTTTTAACTTCTGTTTATACAGAGATATAGATATGTTTCATATTCTTAGCTTTGGATAGATTCTCAAGATTTTAATGTTGAGAAATGACATAATTTGCAGAAAAAACTCATTAGATTTAAAGGTAAATTAGCTGGCATTCTTTAAAAAGCATTCCTAGAGCATTAAATTATCTTCTGAAATTCACAATGATGTGTGTGTAGTATTATACAAAAATGTAGAAACCAGTTATTGAAATATTTTTAATGTTTTATGGTCCAAGTAGAACTAATAATGTAGTAAGTAAAGATATGTACTTTCTTCTGATCCAGAGGACTTCTATAACTGTGAAAGTGTGATCATAGAGATTTTTCTTTCATCCTTACCCTTTCTATTTTAAACATGATAGATTGTTCATAACTTGACACTTAAAATTGATTATAGTTTATTTGACAAATGTTCGGTCTACAGGTAAGCTATAGATAGTTTAAACATAAAGCAAATAAACATGGGAAGATATATTTGCAGTAGCACTCTTAGTGAATATACTATGCATGTAGAGTAGTTCGGTAAAGTATTTTCATACTGCAGAATTCATCCCTCTTTTACAGTTAGTTATATGTTGCTGTGATAAGTGCTCTATCAGCTCTTTTTCTTCTGCTTACACTAACTTGTGGTCTTATTTTGATTGTGATTCTGTTCTACTAATGAAATTTAGGATGAATAATAGATAACTAATGAATCTGTATGCATCATTGCTAATTGCTGAACTAAATGGGAAAAATTATCATAAATATTAATATGAACATTGTGTAATTATTAGCTTTTTTGAACTGTTATCTTATTTGTATTTTGTTATTTTCTACCTAGAAGTGGAAGAACTGTTAACTTCCCTTAAGCATATCCAGCACGTTTTGGTAGACCCTCAGAGCCAAGAAGATATTTCTCTCATTTTACAACTTGTTCAAAATACTGATTTTCAGAATGCATTTAAGATACACAATGCTGTTACAGTGCACATGAACAAAGCCAGCCCTCCGTATCCTCTTATCTCCAACGCACAAGAACTAGCACAAGAGGTATGTACAGTATGTATCTGTGATATATTTGAAAGCTATAATCATAGCTGTTGAAATATTTACTTGTCAAGCTTGTGTGAATTACTGCATGTTGCATATAAAATGGATTATACTAGTCACTGATTGCTGTATCTGTTTTTTTTTCCAGACTTCCAAATAATAACCAGAGAAATATTTTGGGGATAAGAATTTCCTTTATAGTGTAGGTAGATCTGTAATATGTAAAAGGCCCTGTGTTTACATACAGGGAAGAAGACCAGTTACTCATAGCACTTTACATCCAGTTCACAACTGACTCCGAGTTCACTATTGGCATTCCTCTGAGTAAGCCAGGGTTCCTAAATTGGAAGGACTCTCTGAAAATGCGACTGTACTGGAAGCGAGCATTTTGCTTTAAAGTGAGCACAAGGTCACTTAGAAGTTCAATATTTTGATCAGTGCTGTGATCATAAAAATAGATTTAATTTTGTGGTCTGACGGAGACTGCTTTCTTAAATCTGGATAATAAATCTTTTAGAAATTGCTGAACTCTGCTTCTGGAGTTACTCTTTCCTGTGAGATGTTAATGGAAAAACTTTTTTCTTTGTTTTGTTGTTTGTTGCCGAACATAGGCATAAGTTGTTCCCCCAGAAAGTGGTTGGCTGCTTCCTTCCTTCTAGAATTTTATTTGCTTCAGAGTGATTTTTAAAAAGCACTTGAAAAAAGCCTGTCTTAAAATGACAGTAACTTCCTGATGATGCCGATAACAAAACATAAGTATAAAATAAGGCATATCTACACATTAATTTTAAATAACATTTAAACTGCAAGTAATTTCAATGTGAAAATTTTAGTGCACAGTCACAATTCTGAAATGTATTTGGACTTCATGTCCCAAAAGCTTTCTATAAAGCTATAGGTATCAATTTTGTTTGGGCTTTGCAGTAGGAAAAGAACCCACTCATTTTCTAGCCCTTTTTAGGGAGGTATTAAACTTAATAGTCCATTTGTGCTTTTACTTTTCCTGTAGATTCTGACAACCGGACACTGACAACTCAAATTTCAACTCTCTTTCTTTCTTTTTTTTTCTTCTTTCCATAAACTTTAATTAAAAATTAAAGTCCAAGTGCTTAAGGAATTTGCATGGAGATTAGCTCCTTAAAGTAATGTGAAGGACTCTGCCACTTGAGTAAAAATAGCCAGTAAACATCAAATGTAATTAAAGTGATTTTTAAATCCATTTTAAACTTGACAAAAAGCAGGGGCAAAGATTCTGGGAATGTGGGTGGAATCTTGAGCTTGTAAGAGTATTTGAATTCATCATTCAAGACGGTTTGTAATTTGGGGCTTGTAACAGCTCATCTCAGACATGTGAAAGAGACACTTGCTGTTATATTTACTTCAATAAACCCAGTTTACATCAGCAGTGTATATAAATGTTTTGGATACTATCCACTTGAACACATGCAGGCAGTTAAATTAGATCATTACTTTTGAGAGGAAGCCTGTAAGAGTACTAAACTCACTGGAATGCATATGTATATCTTGTTTAATGATTTTACAATCATATAAGGGTAAAGAACAACGTGATTATTACCATATTCTGAACAGGCAATACTTTCTCGTGCCTCCAAATTGCTGTTTGTAAAATGAAGTCACACTAAGGACTTTTTTGAAACTGGTTTGAAGTAAAATTAATGTAATTAACAATAAGAGCTAGACTACAGGCTTAAGAAATTCCTCTTCCTGCACGCTCGATGCGGACTGCCTGTGCCATCAGCATAGTGTGTCAGCGTGTAGTGTCCAGGTCATCTGGAATTCTCTTTCCTTCAACCAGAACTTGTGGATTTTCTTGCTGCCAGTGACAAAAGGAGTCTGACATGCTGCAGTATGAATGTAATGGTGTGTGTGGACTGCAGCTTTTTATCACTATAACAAAATTATGTAATAAATAAATAGTACCCTGAGCATTCCTGTTCTGCCTTTTAAGAGAAAGATGTTAGAGGCTTGAATAATGTAATGAGCAGAAACTTGACTTGAATAACAGATACTTGGCTGAGAATGGCTGTTTGAGCCAGGTTGCTAGGCATGGAAAAATAAAGAATGGGAAGATGCAGCTCCTGGTGGTGCATTTCTAACAAAAATCCCACTGGTTTTAGCTGTGATTGCTAGAAACTTGGAAGTAGAAGGATACCAGAAGTAAGCTAGGGACCTCAGTGTCTTGTTGTAATTGCTTGCCTTTATTTCAAGCCATTTCCCATGTGCATCATATAGCTGCTACGAAAATGTTGTACTTAAAATAGCATTCTATTCCATCATTCTTCGTAGTTCTTATGCAAAGTGGTTTTCTGTTTCTTGTTTATGATTACAAAGACTTAATAGATTGATTCTGAGAGGTTTAACAGCAGATACAGGTGTATGCTCTGACCGAAGTATGCAGAATGCCTTGCTTATGAGAAGACATTTTCTTCTGTTTAAGTTTCTTTCTTAATAGGTATTTCCGTAAAAGTCCATCAAAATTTGCATAAGCAAGGCTTTAAAACTACTTCTAGAAGCTTCTTCATGAAAATATTGTAAAACCTCTTTAAAGAAAGATCCTAAATAAACCTCTCTCAAGTTGTTCTGTACAGAAGAGTTATGTTAGACAGTGAGGAGGGGTTGCTTTTAGTGGCACATCCTTCAGAGTGCTCTATCTGCCAAAGGACATCCCAGTGTCATCTTGCTGCTTACAGAAGCTGTTCATTTAGTGGCATCTCATGCAGTTTCAAAGTATATCTTTGCTGTGTTCTCAGTACTGTGGTCTGGTAGCATCCCAGAGAGTTTTTAGTATTCCTACAGATAAATTCCCTCAGGGTAGAGGCTCTTGAGATCCTTTGACCTTAATGTAGCCCACAAAACCTTAATTATTTTTTGCCTTCCTGATTCTGTTATGTCACATTGCCTAATCTTTAAGAGTTTTAGTTATATATTAAAAATGATTTTCATCTTATAAAAGGCTCTGGTATGTGTAATCTATTCTTGATGCCTCTGGATTCATTAGTGTTTTTGCATGTGTATGTCTTTGGTGCAAATTAGTTATATAAGGATAAGAGCTATGGAAAGTCAGTCTCAGCTTTACATACAACTCACCCCTCTGCTTTTGTCCTTTTAAAATGTGCTGGGATTTTTTGCTATTTGTGAGATGCTGGCGAGGCATCTCAAGCAGAATGAGAATGCCAGTCTCTTTTTGGCACCTTGTTTTCTTAAGGAAAAGCAATCCATTTATTAACATGGCTTATTTTAGAAACAGCCCAAGAAACCTGATTTCCTAAGGTCCTGGTGTTTTGGCCTCATGCAGGGGACAGGGGAAGGCAGGGCGCTTGGCATGGGTGGTAGGAATCTCTCTGGAAATCTTGCCGTTTTGCTGTTGGTAGCTTATCTTTACCTGAGCTCTTACCTCTTTTTAAGCAGAAGTAAGTCTAGCTACGCTAATGAGTAATTAGGTTAGAACCTGGCATATTCAGATAACAGGCTTCACTGTGACTGGTTTCACTCCTCTACTTTATATGGAGGTGACTTATGTTTTTTCCCTTATCTTTTGTAATTGCCAAGCTTTTGGTTAGTCTCTGCAGTTGACAAATCTGTATGAACTCAGTTTTCACTCTGTAAAGAATTACTGAGACAGGACATGCTAGAGTAGTTCTGCAGTCGTCTCATTGCATGTGTTTCTAATGTGCATTGGATTAAGTTTAATGAGCCAGGATAACAATTACGTGAACATCCTTTTACTTTGTAGAATGAATAACGGCAATTAGGACTTTGTACTTGGCCTGTGCAGGGCTTTTGGATTTGCTTTTGGTGGTGGTTTATTTTTGGGGTTTTCTGGGTTATTTGGTTGGGGTTTTGTGATTTTTTTTCTGTTTTTGTTTGCTTGATAGATCACTGGATAGAGTAGGTGCTTTACTACCTGTTTTCTTTTTAGGTGCAGAGTGTTTTGAAACCCAGTCACCACAAAGATGGGCAGGAGCTTAATGCTTTGCTGAATGCCCCTCACATGCAGGTAAAGAAATAGGAGACTTTTCATTTATTGGATATGTTTCTTAATGCTCTCTTGAGTCTATTTTATATTTTTTGCAAATATTTTGGGTCAGTTGGGGAGGAGATCTTGTTCTTAATCTCTGGCAAAGCTTGAATGCTTCTCTAGGGTGAGAAATTTCTAATGTCCTGCAACTAATGGAAACTTATACTAACATGTAGTGTGTGATTGTATTCAGCCCCTGCTATAATTTACAGTCTCAACTGAGCAATTTTCATGTGAACAAGTTCCCTTAGGGCAGTAGGGTTGGAGTGATACATCAACTGCTTTGCAATAACTACTTATATATGTTTTCTTTTTTCCTTTAGTGAAAACTATTTCATGCCTAGCATTAAGGTGCACAAAGGAAATTTTGTCCTGTGGGCAAACTGTAAATTCCTAAGTTATTTTCTCTGCAGTAACTTTTAACATAGGCAACTTCCTTGTTTTTTGATTGTATTTCCTTTTTTTTCTTTTAACATAGGAAATCTTTAATTACAGTCGACAGTCGCAGCTGTGATTAACATTAGTTTTGTAATCTCAGCAATCTTGAAGCAAACTTTGGCAAGCATGTAGTAGTAGGTACTACATGTCCCAAAGAATTTGCAGTCTGAGAGTTGCCACGTAATCAACTGCTTTGCTTCAGTGCTTCATTTTGAAACCCTTTGAGCACCATATTTTGAATAAGGTCTGTGTTAGGGGAGTCACAAAGCTTTGTTAAAGTATTGCAAGAACTTTGGACATTTGGGGTTGTTTCTAAAATTTAGTCAGGAGTTTTGGTGGAATTGTAATTGCACTTTCACGTGCCTGCAGTTATAATGAAGGTCAACTTGTTAGGCACTTTTGGTTCCTGTCTCCCTGGCTTTTCAGAATGGTACCAGTGGGCCTGTGATTTCTGCAGGTTTCAAAGCTCCATCATATATGAGCAGACATTGCATTATTCTGCAGGCTCATTATTTTACAGTGATATTTTCAAAGATATTTCTGGTCTTTTGTGATAACAATAAAGCTTTAGTAAATTAATAGTTAAAATTATGGACTGCAGCTCTACAAGTGATTGCCTTCTGAAGCTATATGAAGTGTGGAACCCTGTGTTCAAAGTTATAGCTGCATATAAATGCATAGTTGTGATGAATCTTAAGTCAGTTTGCAATGTTCTGTAACCTGCAAAGATTTATGTAGCTATAGAACTTCACTGAACTTTGCACCATTTTATATAGGCCCAAATTTTCTTTAACTGAACTGCTTTTGTTTAACACTAGGCGCTCTTACTGGCTCACGATAAGGTTGCAGAACAAGAAATGCAACCAGAGCCAGTGACAGAGGAGAAGATTTATGAGAATGTTGGCCTGTATGGCGGGGAGACGGTTAAAATAGTTCGGATTGAGAAAGCTCGAGATATTCCACTGGTATGTATTGATACACAGAACTGCATGTGAGGCAGGCAAGTGCTTGTCCTTTGCAGATTGTGATGAAAACTTTCATTTGAATGTGGAGGTGATATTTAACTTGTAAACCTTCCCCCCACTCCTGCAATGAGAAATGTTTGTAGATAATAAACTTTTATGTACTTTGATATCAGCACTTGACATAATACCGTTTACAGTCCATACAACTGCTGTGAATGTGGGTTTGGACAGGACTTCTTGATTGAAGGCAATGTCCAAGTTCAACTGCAGTAGAGTTTGTATCCTTGTGCCAACCACGGAACTTTTTAACAGCTCTTCCCTTTTTGTTTTTCATCTTTCAAACGAGTTTATTTTCTTTCAAAGCAGAAATCTATCTCCACTGGCTTGGAGTATATACTAGAGATAGCTTTGAGTTTCATATATGTAATAAATTCAGATTTTGTTGCCATTGTACAGGGTGCTACTGTTCGCAATGAAATGGATTCTGTCATCATCAGCCGAATAGTCAAAGGCGGCGCCGCAGAGAAGAGTGGGCTGTTACACGAAGGGGATGAAGTGCTAGAGATTAATGGCATCGAGATTCGTGGAAAAGATGTTAATGAAGTTTTTGACTTGCTGGTGAGCACCACTTTGCCTTGCAAGAAATACTTGTTTTGTAAGACTGAAGCCTGATGGCTCAGCTTGTCATTTGCCATCCTATTTAACTTGTTTTTAAATAATCCTTTAATTCCAGTGGCTAATACATGTAGAAGAGCATTTTAGCTTTCCTTTCTGATGCAAAGTAAAATAGTAGTAAGCAGAAACTACCTGCAAAAATGAGGCATACAAATTTGGAAGTGTCACTGTATCTTCTTGAGATTTAATTTTTTTTTGATGTTTTGTTTTGTTGTCTTTCTGCCTTTGATCTGAAAGATTTCCCTCCTATTAACAACACTTTTGTATAGGATTTTACCAGCATAGATGTCTTCCATTTCTGTTTATTATTGGCACTTATGAAAAAATATACATTAGTTTAAAAGCTACTAGGCAAAATTACAGGAGAAAATTCATTGGGAGCTATTGGTGTAGAACTGCTATCTCAAAGCGCTTGTGAGGTAGGATGCTAGAAACTGGGAATTACCAGCACTTCCCTTTGCCTGATTCTGTGCTTTTCTCATGCTCTGCCCTAGCATCTGCCATTAATCAGTGTCAGAAATGGGACACCTTGAATCTCTGAATCTTTGACCTGAGTATAGGAGGGAAGACTGTTCAGTTGCAGTAAAAACAGATGAAAATTATTTTTTAAGTTTATAAAGTAACTTTGATACCAAGCATTGAAAATATTCACTGTTTACTGTTCATAGGATCTTTGGGGGAAAAAAAAGAAATTGGGAATATCGTATTTATGAAATCTTTTGATTTGCTTGATTTAAGGCCTTTTTGCAAAGTCATATGCAGCTAAGTTATGCTTCTGAGAATTTTCCTATATCTTTAGTAGATAATTCAAATTTGATAGTCTAGTTTATAGTTGTTTTCTGTGGAGTTTGCTCTGTTCTTGAGCAGCTCCTGCAAGCAAAAGTTACAAAATAAAAGATTTAAAAACCATAGTACATTAACATTAAAGCAAACTAATTGGCTAAAGTTCTATAAGTTCTTAAAAGTTTTTACGTGTAGATTTTTGAATTTTGTAGTGTGATATTGGGGTTTTTAAAATCAGACTAAAATATTTCAGTTCCCAGGAGAATCCTTTTAGTAGAGGATAGAAACTATTTTCCTTGTTTTTTTTTTTTTTTTTTGCTTCATCCTTTGCTATTAAATGATAATGAATTGCACATGACTAGCCAAGACTATCTAGACCATCACTACCAATTCCTGTACAGAGCTATGCCTCTGAGTATTGTGGGGTTTGCTTTCTTGCAGCCTGATCATGTTATGCTCAATTATATCTGTTTTTTTTTAAGCCCTAGGCCTGAATTTTGTGTGATACATCTGTGCATTTTGGTTTTATGCAGCCTGAATTGTGTGTATGGTTCATGGAATGGTGTGGATAAAATGAGACTTATCTAGGCCTCTTCACAGAGTTGCTGCTTGCTTTCTATTACATCTTTATATGCTTGTGTATATACACATGTGCATTGCATACAAGAGGTTTCTCTTTAAAATCTTGCGTGCTTTTTCCTGCAAGCACAGACTCACTTGCCGGTATTTGGAACAGAAAAAGAGAGCAATTTCACAGTCCTGCAGTTGAGAGTTGCAAGTGTCCCATTTCATATAGGAATAGCTTATATAACTTATGCATAGTAAAGAGTTCTAGGGCTTTTATCTGTGTATCAGCATTGGCTGGCTTTTCAATGCAGCATTTTCAAAGTATGCTATTTATTAGAATTTTTAACCTTGAGCCAGATTTTGCTAGTATGTACTGAAGAGCCTTTTTTCCCCCCTCAGGCTGACATGCATGGTACCCTGACCTTTGTATTGATTCCCAGTCAACAGAGCAAGCCACCTCCTGCGAAGGAGACTGTTGTAAGTAGTTTTAAATAAGTTCCTGAGTTTCAAATGCATATTTTTGCTCTTCTACGAGTCACATTAGATGGTGGAATCGGGGGGGGGGGGGGGGGGGGGGGGGGAAAGTAATTTAAACCACCCAACTACTGTCTAAATTAGTTAATAGAAACAATTGAAAGTGGTAAGCTAAAATTTATACTATGGTGTTTTTAACTCAGCTTCTTAAAGATTAAAAAAATTAGAACAATCTGTGCTTCTGAAATTCTCTTTTCAAATAACCTACTATGTGCTTAGTATGTATAAATAAAAAAAATTATTGATTGAAGTTGAGTTTTTGCTTAAACTTGAAAATATGCTTTGGGAGGCAAATTTTTAACATAAATTTGTTCAATATCTTGCTGGCTAACACTTTTCTTTAGTTTTAACAGTTTTATGTAAATCTCTGGCAATGTGTGTCAAAATTTACCTAGAATCCAGAAGAATGGGTTTCAATACACTTCCTGTTTACTCTGAAAAAAATGAGAATGCCTGATAAAGTTCTTAATGCAAAAAGTTGAAATTAGTAGCTTGCTTATTTTTTTCCTTCTGAAGAGGCGAGGAAACTACATACTTTATAATTTTAGAATTATAATTAGAATTTTAAATTCTGCAGTCGTTTCCAAACTAGCACAACTCTTTCCTGTAGCAAATATATCTAATTATTCCATTATGTCCTATATGCCACAAAATCACCATTCTATGGGATCTTGGAGTTTTGATGTATTAGAGTTGAAGTGAAGTGAAGTTCCAAACACATGGAGGAGAAGAAGGTGCTCAGGAGTAGCCAGGAGTAGCCAGCATGGATTCACCAAGGGGAAATCCTGCTTGACTAACCTGATCACCTTCTACGAAGGAATATCTAGCTGGATAGATGAGGGCAGAGCGGTGGATGTCATCTATCTGGATTTGAGCAAGGCTTTTGACACTGTCCCTCACAGCATCCTCCTGGGCAAGCTCCAAAGGTGTGGGATAGATGTGTGGACGGGGAGGTGGATTAGGAATTGGCTCGATGGCAGGGTGCAGAGAGTGGTTGTCAATGGTGCGGAGTCCAGCTGGAGGCCTGTACTTAGTGGTGTCCCCCAGGGGTCAGTTCTCGGTCCGGTCCTGTTCAACTTATTCATTAACGACCTGGATGAAGGGCTGGAGTGCTCCCTCAGCAAGTTTGCCGATGATACCAAACTGGGTGGAGTAGCTGATAGCCCTGAGGGCTGTGTTGCCATCCAGAGGGACCTGGACAGACTGGAGGACTGGGCGGCGAGAAACCTCATGAGGTTCAACAGGGGCAAGTGCAGGGTCCTACACTTGGGGAGGAATAACCCCGGACACCAGTACAGATTAGGGGTGGACCTGCTGGAGAGCAGTCCCGCAGAGAGGGACCTGGGTGTCATGGTGGACGACAAGTTGACCGTGAGGCAGCAGTGTGCCCTGGTGGCCAAGAAGGCCAACGGGATCCTGGGGTGCATTAAGAAAAGCGTCTCCAGCAGGTCAAGGGAAGTGATCATCCCCCTCTACTCAGCCCTGGTGAGGCCACATCTGGAGTACTGCGTCCAGTTCTGGGCTCCCCAGCACAAGAGGGATGTGGAGCTGCTGGAGAGAGTCCAGCGCAGGGCTACCAGGATGATCAGGGGCCTGGAACATCTGCCATATGAGCAAAGGCTGAGAGAGCTGGGTCTGTTCAGCCTGGAGAAGAGGAGGCTGAGGGGGGACCTGATCAGCGTGTATAAATACCTCAAGGGAGGCAGTGAGGAGGAGGGGGGCAGCCTCTTTTCAGTGGTGGGCAGGGATAGGACTAGAGGAAATGGCTTCAAACTGAAGCATCGGAAGTTCCACAGGAACTTAAGGAAGCATTTCTTCACTGTGAGGGTGACAAAGCACTGGAACAGGCTGCCCAGAGAGGTTGTGGAGTCTCCTTCTTTGGAGATCTTTAAAACCCGCTTGGATGCAGCCCTGTGCCACGTGCTCTAGGTGACCCTGCGTGAGCAGGGGGGTTGGACTCGATGACCTCTGAGGTCCCTTCCAACCTTCGGCATTCTATGATTCTATGATTCTAAGTGCAATCGCAGGAAAATGGGATATAACTCTTTAGAAGTACCAGTTTTTCCTCTATTTTTCCATCTGTTCTTCCACAGATACATGTGAAGGCACATTTTGACTACGATCCCTCTGATGATCCTTATGTCCCTTGCCGAGAGTTAGGCCTGTCCTTTCAGAAAGGAGATATACTGCATGTGATCAGCCAAGAAGATCCCAACTGGTGGCAGGCCTACAGGGATGGAGATGAAGACAATCAGCCCCTGGCAGGCCTCATCCCTGGTAAGCAAGGCTTTAGCAAAAGCTTGACAGACGATTGTCACCACAGCTGTCATGGGCAATGATTAGTTTTCAAGCACCCGTATACTGGACTGCATTAAGCATCTATGGCTTTCAGCCTGTTGCAGCAGAGCACAGAATTAGTTGCCTGATTCACTCACTGAAATAGGCTGAGCTTCAGCTGGCAGTAGAATAAGCTGGAATCTTTCTGTATAGATATTAAACAGAAAATCTTCCCTTTCCACTGCAGCTTGCCTTACAAGAGCTCCCCTCTTCTCCTGTCCCCCTGCAGATTCTGTAGATGCAGAGTTCCCTCTGCTGGCTACTGCAAAACCTTAAACCTGCTTGTTCTGTTAGATGACAGCAGCTGACGCCTTATTCAGTATTTCAACTAGGATATTTTTGTAAATGCATCTTCTTTAGTGACAATTTACCTGCATGTTTTTGCTCATGAAAGAGCTTTCATTAAAAGTAGCTTTACTATGCTTTTCTAGTTGTTAGGAGTTTTGGGGAAACTGGGTTTTCAGAAATTGGAGTCAGTATATAATTTTTGCATCAATTCTGAACTGCATTTCAATTCATTAAAGATCTGTCTGTTAAAAATAGAGAGTGAAAAAAAGACTTTTCAATACTGTGAAGTATGACATTATTTTATGATACTTGAATAAGCTAAGAACACCGTTATAAATATAGGCTAATCTCTTTGAGGCTGATGTTCAAAAGATTTTGTATAAATAGAACACATCTAATACCTAAAAATAATTAGGAACTGCATCCTCGTAACTTGGAAAACTGAAAGTACTGGAATGATTACATTTTCAAACCAGACTGTCCAGAGTAATTTGAAAGCCCTGCAACTCTTGAGTGGTGTATTTTCTAAGTAATAAACAGGTTTCTGAGCAACTTGAACCTTTTGCAAGTCTTTCTGTTGGGTTTCTTTGAAAGGCTGAGTTCTTCTTTCCAAAATTCACAAAAATCAAGTCATGCTGGAAAGGAAAATATCTGTTTACCACTCGCTAATAATATTGCATTATTACCTCCATTCACCTATAGAAAGTGTTATGTCAGCAATATGAAAATTCTAAGAAAATACAAAAATATCCTTGCTAGTGATGCCAGGGCTGTTTCATTTATTTGACAATAAACATAGAATTTAAGGAATGCTTAATAAAAAGGCAACTTAGGGAAGTTGGACAACATTCTCCCAGAACCACTGGAAATTTGACCATAACCGTCACCTCATATAGGTACTACTACTGAAATCTGAAATAAGAGTTATGTTACCCATATTTACACAGTAATCGCTAGCAACTATCCTTAGTGTCATAGGGTATTACCAATGTGGTGCATATGCCATACAGATTTGTTTTACTGTTTGCTGTTGAAGTCGTGACTTTTTTTTTAGATATTCTGAGATTCTTTCTATTAAGATGAAATAATTTTGCATCTTCTATATGACCGGCCTGTGTTTTCCCCAGTGAGTTGCTTTTGCCCCTTGTATTCTATTAAACTCTTGGGAGATTTAAAAACATAAGAAAAAAGGAAAATGAATAGGGCATTGAAGGAAAATAAGGTATTATATATACAATTCTAGTTACAGTTTGAAGTGATTTTTTTTTTCAATCATTAACTTTTGTTTTACCTTTCTTTTTCTTACTAATGCATTAAGGAAAAAGTTTTCAACAGCAAAGGGAAGCAATGAAGCAAACCATAGAAGAAGACAAGGAGCCAGAAAAATCAGGTTGGATATACACTTTCCAGTAGAAATTTTCTGTAATACAGGTGCTAATTAGAGAGTTTTCTGGAATCTTGTTTACATAGAGAATTATAGAAAATTCTCTTTTTTTGTAATATATGTAGGATATTTGTTTGAAATTTTTCATATAAATACAGATCTGACCTGTGTTAATTTCCACGATGTACAATGTAAAGGAGGTTATGAAGGAGAATTTGAGAAATCTTTTTCTCTAAAAATTATATCTACCATGACATGCAGTACTTGCTTTATAGCCCAGACTTGTAATGAACTGAAGAACATTATGCATTTTCAAAATCAGAAGAGGGGAAAAAAAAATCCATTTTAAAAATCCAAATAATGGGCAGAATAGGGAGTTTTTTACTGTCCAGATAATTAATTATGTTGATTTCATTTTGGTTAGGAAAACTCTGGTGTGCGAAGAAGAATAAAAAGAAACGGAAAAAGGTTTTATACAATGCAAATAAAAACGATGGTAAGCAACATTTTTTTCACAACATCTTCATTTCTAACAACTATAGAAGACTCAGGGAACAGGAATATTCCTGTGAATAGAACGTTGAAATTCAGGATGCGATATTGGAAGTATTGTCTGATGATGATCCATGTTTGACCTGTAAGGACACTTAGTGCCTTTAATAGAGACCAGATGATACAGGTAGAAAAATAAACAAGTTTGAGGGCATTGAAGTTCTCACAGTCTCACAATGATGAAATACTTTGTTGTGGTATTGAAGAATCATCATTATGCTCTAAGGGATTAAGTGTAGTAGATGGAAATTTTGGTCACATTAAGTTGTGTCAGCTGTTAAAACTATGCTCTTGTAAGAGTACCTTGCGTTTGGGTTGGTGGCTTGTTTTTTTTTTTGGTGGTGGTTCAGTATAAAATGTTATTCTCATACTAGAAACTTGCTTTCTTGCTGAGAGGGTTGTATCTTGAGCTTGTACTATGGCTTATACCAGTAGGAACTGCAAGCAGGCTTCCCTTCCCCAGAAGAGAGAAGGAATATCTTGTTTTACTGGACAGCCCCAAGTGCTAATTTTCTGAGGTTTGCTTGCTTTCATTGCTTGCAAATAGATGCTGGGAAGAGAGATGGGAACTTCATTGAACTAGTTACCATATGCACGTAGCCATAACATGTTTTGCCTTTTTAATGTGTTTTTTTCTCTCAAGATTATGATAACGAGGAAATACTGACGTATGAGGAAATGTCCCTGTACCACCAGCCGGCTAATAGGAAAAGGCCCATCGTCCTGATCGGCCCGCAGAGCTGCGGCCAGAACGAGCTGCGGCAGAGGCTGCTGAGCGCCGAGGGCGATCGCTTCGCCTCCGCGGTGCCGCGTAAGTGCGAGGCACACGCGTGGCTGCCGGCGCGCCGTGCTGCCTGCAGGCACGGCCTCCCGGGGCTGGAAGGCTGGTTGGGGCTCGGGGAGGCAGGGCCACGGTATAGGGAGCTGTTGGAGAAAGAAAACAAGTCTTGTGTGGCCAAAAAAAAAATAGCTTTGGTAAATTGATGCAAATTGAATGTCCCAGGATACAGAGGCATTACAGAGTGTTAGGGAAGTATTTTAAGATAAGCATCTAGCTTAGCTTGGATCAAGTTGGAAAGTGTTAGAGTAATTTGAAAAAGAAACTGGCACGCCTGTCAGTTTTTAACCTAGTTGTTGTGTGCAAACTTCAATTTGAGTGTTTTAGTGCCTTTCTTAACTTTTTGCCTTTTCCCAGAATATTACATATTTAAAGTCTTTTAACATATTACAAATGGCTAAATTTTTTTCCCATCCAAATTGCAGCTGCACAAGTTAAATGGCTCATTTTCTAGTTGATATTTTTTTCTAGATAAATTTTAAAAAGAAGGAAAAATGTAGATGTAGCTTCAGTATTTGGCAGGCTAATCTGTTCAAGAATGTTTTTCGACAGAAATAATACCTGCATTTCTTTTGTTTCTTACTGGGTATTTCAGACACCATTTCTGCTTTATTAGCACTCTTTCTCCCTGAAAATCTACGGGTGCTGCATCACTGTCCTGATTTCTTTTTGTTTGCTCTTGCTTGTAGATACTACTCGGAGCCGGCGAGAGAATGAAGTCGCTGGAAGGGATTACCACTTCATTTCCCGACAGGCGTTTGAGAACGACATAGCTGCAGGGAAGTTCATTGAATATGGAGAGTTTGAGAAGAACCTCTATGGTACTAGCATAGACTCGGTGCGGCAGGTCATCAACTCTGGCAAGATCTGCCTTTTAAATCTCCATACCCAGGTATGGCAGGAGCAGTTGCCTGTTGTCTTTATTCCAGTTAATAATATATCAACAGCAGTTTTGTTACCATTATAATTACTTTAGAGGCCTTTTAATTGAATATATAATCAATTATACTGTTTGAGCAATGTATCATTAAATACCATTTTGTGGATGAAACTTGTTAACTGTTCTACATTTAAACCCATTTTCCTGCAGTCGCTGAAGACGCTGCGCAATTCAGACTTGAAGCCATATATTGTATTCATTGCGCCACCTTCCCAAGAAAGGTTACGTGCTTTATTGGCCAAAGAAGGGAAAAATCCAAAGGTAACATCTGACACTTCTTCTGAAACTATTCTCTTAGTTGATAGATCTATACTGCTCTCAGTAAACATATTTGTATGCTATTTTTTGGATTTATGGAATGTCAAACATACTTAAATTACATAGGAAGTGCTGTGGTTTGGAGATAGCCCTTAAAGATTGTAAAGGAGGGAATTAATGTACTTTTTCCTAACCTAAAACATGTCATGTACCAAAACAAGGACAACTGCTAATCCAGTAATTCTGGGGCATGGTGACTCCTTTTAGTTGCAGAGTCAGTTGTGGTTCCTGCATTAGGGCACAAAAATAAGACCCTTTATTTCAAAGCTTGGGAAACCCCACTTCTTTGTCCTCAGCTAACTCTGAAAGTAATTCTGGGGACCACATGTTTTTTCTTTCCCATTTTGAGAGCATGTTTGCTTTTGAAAAATGCTTCCTTAAAAGGTACTCTAAAATTAAACTGTTCAGATAAAGTAATTCTGATGTTTGATCCTGCAGGATCACTCTTCATGCATCGATGCAAATAGTATCAGAATCTCAGTTTTTCTAGTTTAGATTTGGCTAAATGAACATTTAGTTCCGTAGGATGGAATTGAAATCCAGAGATTAAACAAGAGTGTCTGAAAAAATCAGGGAAGATCCTTATTTGCCTGTAGGATACTAAGCATGTATTGTTAGGATAACAAAAGATACTCATCTTCACCTTGTTGGAAAAAGTACCAACAGCGGGAGCACTTTGCCTTATACGTCATACCGAAATATTTCTTGATATAAACAGAGTGATAAGATAAGTTGTAGAAGATAAAATCGAACAGACTTTTAGAATCTAGTCCAAAAACCCTAAAGCAAAAGCATTGAGGTCTACTACTTCCTTGACATCTCTTATCTATGTGGGCAATAGTCCTGCTGCAGGTGCTTTTCCCTTTCAGCTTACTTTTTGTCTTCAGTTTTATTTACTGATGCTGTAGTGATTCTGTTGACTAAAATGTTGGTTCTCACTGGCTTTGGTTATATTTTCCTTTAAGTTTCTTTGGGATAAAAATATTTTAATGCAAGTTTTTAGCTTTGGCTGTCTTGACAGAGCCACATTGTCTTTTCTGCACCATTCAAACTTTCTTCTATGTTACTTCTGACATTTTCAGTCTCTTTGGAAAGATAAGGAGCTTAACAATGTAATTTACTTGCTATAAATATGATTTAAGAAGAGCAATTAGATCCATGTTACAGAATAAGTAGCAATGCGTCTACCTCATTCGCATCAGTCGGAGACAGTTATGTCTTGCGTTGGTAGTTGAGGCAAATTAGAAGTGTTTGGTGATGATGCCAAAAGGTAGAGATGTCTTGAATGTCCATGGTTTTCAAATATGCATATGGTTAAATGTTCTCAGAAACTTTTCTGTAGCCAAAATCAAGGAAACCATGAAAACTTGTGTAAAAGCCCTGAGCAGAAGCATTACCTTCATTCCTCCCTTGTTGTGGGAAGAGATTGACAACACAGAGTAACTCTGGCTTTGTTTTCAGCCGGAAGAACTGAGAGAAATCATAGAGAAGACGAGGGAGATGGAACAGAACAACGGCCACTACTTTGATACAGCAATTGTGAATTCTGATCTCGATAAGGCCTATCAAGAGCTGCTTCGGTTAATCAACAAACTCGACACAGAACCCCAGTGGGTGCCCTCCACCTGGCTGCGGTGAAAGAGGACAATTCCAAGGGACAAATGGACTCCCCCCTTGCAGTCTTTCCAAGGAGATTGTGTGTAGGTCCGCCCAGTTCTAATAATAGATGGGAGCATGAGCTCTAGACCCTTGGTGGCTACTCTGTACTTGGCCAGTGAAATTGTGTATTACTGAGGGAAGAAAAAAAAAATCCACTAATCGGCTCGTGAGCTGATTTAACTAATTTAAAGATTGTCCGAGTTTTCCTTCTCTGTGGTCTAATGATGAAGATGCTTAAGTCAGTACTAAATTCTAAAGCTTTAGATAGATTTTTCTAGTAACTACTTTTATACATAAATACATGCTATTTTTAATCTAGAATCACCCTTATAAAATTAAAGATTTTAAGTATGTGCATGTGCGTGTGTGTGTATATATATAGAGTCCGTGTTGTCACATAGTTATAAATATTAATGTTATTTAACACTTAACTTAATGACTTTGTGGGACGTGATGGTAGTTCAGGATCATAATTTTACAGATCACTGGGCAGAGAAATAATCTACATATGAAATAATAATGAGAAATGTTTCTGTTTTAAAAATGTACAAAAGGAAGATGCCGCTCTGGTCTGGAGCTGCCCTGTGAGGCTTGAAGTTTATTTTTTAATTCTAAAAAACATTCCACTTTCTTATGGCACTGTAATTGGAAAATATGTGTAATGTAAATATTTCAATCCTTGGGTCTTTTTGGTCAAACTTTGTAAGTCAGTTATTGACTGCAAATTAATTTTAGGTCCAATCAAAGATGAATATTATATTGATTTTTAGATGTGATATTTTTATGGAATTTTCATTAAAACTTACTGACTGATTGGAGCCACTGCTATCCACAAATATGTAGAGAGATTTAGAAAAGCAAAAGTTATATTTTTTATGAAAAATACATAGTTATAAAACATGTTTATTAAGAATCAGCAAATTTTCTCATGTTTTATAACAAATAAATGGAATGATGTGCTGAATATGGGAAGACCATGGTGGTGGGAATGGTTCTCTTTGGAAATGGTTTGTCTTGTGGCAGTTGCTCTAATGGGTAGCTAACTGGAATTAAAATAGCTGAATGTAGCTACTGTATTGTAAACTAGTATTTGAATTCACCAGCAATGTATTGTCCTGCATTTTCTCAGTACTGCAGTAAAAGTAGGTATAAAATACTGGCAACTGATGGAAAAGTCACAAAATAGGAGAATATATGGAATTATGGAACAAAACGAACAAGAAAAAAAAAAAAGCTTGAAACAAGTGAACAGAAAACAATGTATGTCTGTATCCTAGCACATGCTGCAAAGCGAATGATGACATTTCTGCATCCCCAGATGATTATCTGAGCTGTGAAGGCTGAACTACTAAAGCTCTGTGTCTGCAGCACGGCTGTTCAGTCACTGAAGCTGCCTCGGTGGTGTTAGCTTGGCTGGTTTGCTAGTGGGTGGCATGAAGAACATTGAATGTGAATGTCTCTCTCAACTTTAGCCGTAGCAGTTCCTTGTTCCCACAGGTAAAACACTGGAGTTGTGTCATTGTGTAGTTTACTCCTGTTTAGTGCTGATGGATAAAAAGGTTGTTGGCTTTTTCCGTACTGTTTTGCATACATTCTTCAAGTTTTCATGGAACAAACACATGCTCATTGGTGAGACCACAAAGGATAGAGCAAATACAAAGAAGTTATGTCAGATCACTTTCCTGGTCACTAGACTGAAGTGCTGCTTTGAAAAATGAAAGTATAGAGTGTATTCTGTATATAGAGTATATACAGAAAGAAAAAAGTTTGGAAACGTATATCTTTGGTTCCTTTCAGTGTTAGAGATAATTCATTAGTACTCTGTGTGTTGGCGTAAGAGCTTGTGATTCAAAATAATGCCTTTTTACCTCACATTGCAGACATGTTCTCCATTTAATCCTCACTTTTCCTATGACAGCTACAGCATTCAGTTAGGTTGCATAGTCAGTGTGTCGATGACAGAACATCAGTTCTGCCCTCCCTGCCCCTTTGATAATTGCAGGTGCTTTAGGATTCGTTACTGTTTCTGAGTTAGACAAGAAGGTGGAAGGCAGTAAAAGGTGGGAAGGGTGACCCAGCCCGGCTAGCCAACTCTTGCCCCAGTTCTTGCAGTCACAGTCAGGATTAAGATACTTGCCCTGTCCCGTTGTATATTCAATGTTTATACACAATGTCAGTCACATTAATCATGCCATTACTGTGTTTGACTAATTTCTGTTCCCCGTCTCCATATTACTGAAATTGTTGTACAGATAAGCTTTTGAATGTAGACTTAAAAGAATGTTGCATTAAGTTCAGCTCTACTCTTAGACACACGGTGTACACTGACATCCATCGAGGGAGGTGCTATAGTTTCTATAATAATGTACAGCCAGTGTCATTTTGTCCAGCTGAAAGGCTTGAGCAGCACTGAGAAAGGTCCCAGCCTGTCCATCTGTCACCAGTTTGGACCTGAAACTACCTTGTATTTAATTTAAGAACAAATAAACAAACAGAAAGGCAGAGCCATTTCTTAATAAGCCTGTGTCAATTCCCTTAAAGAGAATATGCAGTCTTCAGACAGGCTTTATAGCAAGCTGTACCAGACCTGAAAGGAAGGTATCAATATTTTTACCAGTCCAGGTTTAATTAAAAGTAAATCCGTTAGCTGAATTAAAGAATTTTTGAATGTAAAAATATGTGGCTTTTTAAACTATAAAATGGGGGTTTAATGCCTTAAATAATTAAGGCAACTTTATGGAGACCTGTGGTTAGCCCCACATTGTACTTTTATACATGTACCTGCACTCTGTATTTTTGAGACATCATGAACTGCACACTAATGTAAAAATGTAAAATATTTCTAGATTTAAAATAAATCACTGTACAATTTTATTTTTTGTAGTGGCTCTTGGAGTCTCCTTCCTACTATGTTCCTGAATGTGTGAAAAGTGCTCTCAGACTTTGACCCATCAGTGCCCTGTGGGGTGTTTACTATACCTCTTAAATGTATAAGGTCAAAAAGGCACAGAACATATTCCTCAAACTTAGTTTATCTCTAATATTGTCTTACTGTAATTTTCTTATACTTAATTTAATCCCTATTTTTATTTCTTCTCAAAGTCACTGTCATCTTCCTGTCACTCAAAATTCCAAGACTTCATCCGTAACATTTTCTGGGTTCTACCTGTGAATCACCTGTGATTTCTCATGTGATCCACTTTCAGATGGACACGTCTGTCATCTTGTTTGCAAGAAGCCAGAAAAGATCACCTGTCAGAATGACAATGTTCCAGAAGACCTGTAAGTTTTGAATAGACTTCTAAATTTCTCTCACTTTGTCCTGGGATCCTTTTGTATTTTACTCCATTTTTAAATGATCTTCAATTAAATTGTGCACCGTGTAAGGTAATTAACTGCTATTTGATCAATTGCTGCCTGTGGGAGGAGGATGGTTTTACATTTGTGCTTTTAGTCCAACAAGTTGCAAAAAGCATCTGCTGAAAAAACAAACACCCTTCTCTATGCTAAGATTACAGCAAAAGTCATAGGAGCCCTTCTGCCTCAGGCCTGATGGTTCTCTTAAATAGCACAAACCCTGCTACTATTAGCATATCTTTCTCCAGCAACTAAGGGGTTTCCAAGGGGTTGACAAAATAAGTTAGTTCAGTGTAGTACGAACAGAAACTATTTCTTAAGGATGACTTTGACCACTAGTCAAAAAAGGGTAATTCCCCTTACAATGTTGCAGTACACATCATCATCTACTAGTTAAAGATCTTTTCTTTTTTCATCACTAGAACAAGGATTTGCAAATACATCCTCTCATTTATTTCTCTTGGCTGGAGTTTTTGGGGGGAAGCTTAAGCATATCCCTCCCTCTGCCCTATTATATCTTGTTGCTGTTGAGGAAAGTCTTTGGTAGAACATATATGCAGGCAGGAAATAGTATTAGATGGGAGCTCAACACAAATCAAAAGCAGAGGGCTATTTTTTCAAGAGCCTGTAATCCTATAAGCAGGTTTGGATTTAGTATTCAGCTCTGGTGTCAAAAGAGGAGAGAGATGCTTCATGTGCTTACTGAAATGTGTTGCAGAAATTGATTTCCTCAGCCACCATCAAACTCCTCTAATCAGCCCAAGACTTGGAGAACCACAGCAAGAATGGCCTGGAAGTTTAATCCTGCTGTGCTTGCCTACATCCCTGTTGCAATGATGATTTTAGGATAGCTCAGCAGAGGTTCGGATGTGGCAGAGAAGCATCACTTCTCCTTGGTCTCTTCTCCAGCAAGGTAAAATTTAAGTGAAAGTGGATACAGCTGGTAAAGGAATGTGCAGAGCAGCATTTATGCAGTTTTTAAGATGGGGACAGGGGAAGTAGCATTATTTTGAAATAAACAATACAGTTTCAAAGCATTTAAGACCATCATTCTTTAGCAAGTTGGTCCAGATGCCAGACACTTAACACTTGAAACTTTTACTTGTTTCTAGCACAGACAGTACACAAGTTGGCAAAACTTCTAATTAAAACCATAGGCCTTTTAGGCCAATGGTAACAATCGTGCAACAGAAATAAATCATGTAAGACTGTGGATTTCATCAATGAGTTAGAAAATCTAGTGGCTTATACTTACATTTGACTTCAAACTGTGCTGATATCTGCTTTAACTTTTAACATTAATCGTTCAGCAGCAAAAGCTTTGCATGCATCTCCCCCCCACACACACACATAACAGAACTATTGTTATAATGGGAAGAATTAGAATGGAATCTGATTAGGGAAATCCCAAGCCCTCCTGCAAAAGGAACAAGTGTGGACACTCCTTCCCACTGTGTAACTTGAAGAATGCAAGAACTCCCACGCTAGCCTCTACTCCAACCAGCAATACAAGGCTTTCTCGATAACAAAGCACTTGCAGCTACATTCAGGTTTCTAATCTCCCTGAAGAAATCCACAGTCTGTTCCACTAAGATTTATACAGCAACTGAGAAGCCACATAAATATCACTGAGGCAACATGTCCAGTTATAGTGCAATTGGACACTGTCTTCTGGGTCCCCCGCTGCCCTGTACAACACTTGTGCTGGGCTACTCAAAGAGAAGGTCTTCATCCTTCTCCTCCAGTAAGAGGTTGGCAGGTTCACGTTCCCCACCAGCAGCTCTCCGCAGCTCCCGTTCTTTCTCTGACTTTTCTTTCAATACCTTTTTCTTTTCCTGTATCTTCTTTAACCTGTGAACAGCACATGATTTATCAGTGGGGGAAAAAATACATTTTTTTTAATAAAACAGATTAGCAGCAAAGATGGCAATACAATGTGGACAAGATAAAGCTGCCTGAAGCAGTTCCAAAGGAAATAATGATAGTCCTATAACAAATGATTCTTATGCCCAGCTGTTCCAGCTGGGGGAAAATAATCTTCCTTGCAGATTAACTTTTTTTTTCCAATCCAAACTATACATTCTTGACCCTAAAAAACTGAATTACACTACTCTGCTTTTCCTGAATGAAGATGATTCTTTGATCAGTCAGGTTTGACATGCCCAAAACATTTCTCTTCATGGAAGAGATGTTCTTAAAGCACCTGCATGTGCTATGCTGCAGCCTCTGGCTGCATGATAAAGACTACAAGGCACAATGAAGTAGAAAGGATCTGTTAGCAAGTTTGAGAAAATTTCAGATGTCCAAGAAGTCAGCTCTAGGAATTCAAAGCACAGCAAGAAACAGATCATTTTTGACAGTGTTCACTGACAGATTTGGTGAGGATATCTTTTAACTGCATTCTGAGCATCCAGGCTCTCTTAAGAAGAGACCAGCTCTGTCTTGTTTTAGGTACCTACCTGTAGAATTCCTCTCGCTCTCTTTCATCCAGTTCTGTGATGATGTAAGAAAGAGTACGCTCAATCCTGGGAATAATCACTAAAATATATATATAAACAAGGAGCGTGTTAGACTGCTGTTTTATTAGCCATGAAATCATTTAATACAGTGCAGGGACTATTATTTAAAGTTTCTATTTTTAAAAAGTCACAATAGTTGAGCTGGACTTGAATGGAAACTACCTTTTTCCATCACAATTGTCAGAAACTTCTGCTTCTGCAGAAACTTCAGCGCGTACTTTTACCGGCTGCATTCTGCACTGATTAGTTTGAGAAAGTCTTCACATCCAGCTGAAGAAAATACTCAAGTAACCCCTCCCAAGGGAAGATTAAACCAAGCTCTAGACCTGGAGCTGGGCACAGTGTAGGCTATGTGCCAGAAACTTCCTTTTCAAAGGGGGAACCTGTTATCAACACCACCAAACTTGGAAAGGCTGCAAAGGAATTTTTTCCACAGTGAATTTTTTCTGAGTGATAATCACAGAAAAAGCCTGCAAGCTCCAAGGAGTAAGTCTACAGAAAACAGTATCAAAAAGGGCAATTTAGAATCATTGATTAAAATATTATATGCTGTGTACATGCAAAGATGATTAAATAGTAGCTGTGAACAAGTTGAAAAGAAACTTGAAATAATCAAAGCACCCTTATGACTACAGCAAAAGTAATCACAGCCGTGTTGAAAGAAACTGAACAATAAACACTGAAGAATGTGTATCAGGATCGCTCTGTTTCCTACAATAACTTAGCCAAAACTGGTCTCCAGATGCCTACTCTGCCATCCCATCCAGAAGCAGTCTGGACTCTAGGCTAGACACCACAATCCAGTTTCAAAAGGTGTACACTAGGAAAGGTTACAAAAACAGCTACTGGAACATTATTGCACATTAACATCCCTCCCTTTGATTTCTAGTCAACAGACTTGACAAGATCAGTCAAAGATGCCTTGCAGAGAGTCCAGAATACAGATTTTTTAAGTCTTCATACTCAGTGCAACTTCTTAAGGCCTTGCTCATGTTTGCATGCTCCTTTATCTCTGTGTACTCCAGCCTCTGCTGGACTTCTATACGGGGAAAGCAATCAAAAGAGCTGCAGTTTTCAGGACTCTGCTCTGCGTGCTGTAAGGAGAAGTATTTTTCAGTGTAGTATTTTCGAATCTAACAGAGCAAATACTCACCGTGCTCAATTGCATTCACACGTCTGTTTGTTATTTTAATGGCTTCATCCAAAGTAATGAAGGATGTCTGAGGGAAAGATATTCAATAATTAATACCTAACAAAATACCTAACAAAAAGCTCAGTATTTTCATTGATATTACAAACAAGTAAAATTCTTGATGGGAGCAGAATTGTTTCTGCTACTGTCATTGCTCTTACTATTAACAGATTACATCTGATTGCTGCACATTGGCACTTACAAATCTACTATGCCCAATACTAACTCCCCAAAGAAAGTTTCTTCTTTGCATTCTTGACTAAGAGCAGTGAAGCCCTAGTATGACTGAGAAAGGCCTGCAACTTTGTACTATGATAGACTGAAGGATTATAGTGCAGCTGAAGGCATTAGGCTGCTACTTTACTGCATTTATGAACTGTGAGAAATCAGAGATATCCATCCCCACCCCCCACATCTTTCTTTCCTCCCATCAACCTGTAAGGAGGCCAGTTCCACAAGCAGCTCCACAGCTTTGGCATAGTTCCTCTTCAGCTTGGCCAGCTGTTCTCCACCCCTAGCCAAGCCAGTCAGCTCATAACCTGGAAAAAATATCCAACAAGAGCTGTTGCTAATGCCATTATGGTGTTTCCTTACTAGCTTAAACATAGCATTTACAACCTTACAATAAGATCTGTCAGTCCTAAAGAACCTCCTACTTAACCTTAAAAAATCATCATCAAGACCAGTCTTCCTCTAACTGAAAAACACACTGATTTAAAGGATTAAAATCCACTACAGCCCCTAATAACAAGCCCTCAATATGAGTAAAGCATCACAGAGGAAAGATACTACTGTACCTATGCTGTAAACTGACTTCTCAGCAAAGCATTAACTATTTTTCCATTAGCATAGAAGAGCTTTAAGTACCTGTAAGATATAAAATACTCATTTTTGTACTTACTGTCCCCTCCTTCCTGGTAATGCTCAAAAACTGGCAAGGTTACACCTAGCAAAGGCAAAAAAATAGTCAAAAAACAGTGCGTTATTTATTTATTAAGTACAATTCACCTTTCTCACATTTGTTTCTAATGAATTACATGAGCTCAGAAGTTTTGTTTTCAAAGTCTTTACATATGAATTGGAAAGATTAAGTCATGTTGGTTCTACCATTTTTATGGAATTTCAGAACTGTATTTATTACTTCATATTTCACTGAGATATAGGCACATAAAAATATCAGGAGAGTAAATTCAATTTTACTGTGTTTCTGTTTAGCAATGTTTCCCTATGCTGAAGAAATTCTTTAAGCATTTGGTTTTAATTTATCTTCCTTGATTTTTTTAATAGACAGCTCTTGCTGTTTCCTGCTATTAATTTTTTAATATGTAATTTCCAGGCTTTAGTTAGTGCCCATGAAGGAAAAAAAGCACAACAGAATTTATGCTTTTTTTGATCTAGATATTGAACTGCAGTTTACATGCCTTTCATAAAATGAAGTGTGTGACTCAATACAAAAATTCATCTGCTGTGGGGGAAAATTTTAGTAGAAGTGTTCCTAGTGTTCCTACCATTAGATGAGTAATGAAATGAAGAGGAAAGTGTGCTTGGAAACACTACAGAATACGTCAGAGTCTACTCCCCCACATCCCTCAAGAGTCAAAGCACCCATAGGCTGGAACAGTCACCTGCTACGTTGTCTTTTTTAGCTCTGATCTTGACTTGAGCTTTGTTCACATTTTGGATCACAGTGGTACTGTAAGAAAGAAAATGTTTATCTTAACTGGGAAGATTAAAGTGGTCCGTTAATTCACTATATGCAAAGTGAAGTAGTATTGCTGTAAAGATTCGGAGATAGTTTCCAACTCTGTTTTTGGGTGCGCAGACTTCAAAGCTAACAGAGAACCTATGACACAAATGGATTTCCAACAATATTAAAAGCAGCTAAGTCTGTGACGAGTGTTATTTTAGAAACATCTTTGACTAAGTATACAAAGCCTATCTGAAAAATAGCAAATTTATCCACTAGCTGTACAAAAAGAGCAAACTGAAGTTTCTACAAATATTCCCCTTGAAGGATTCTGGAGTGTCCTAGTGTCTTCCCAGAACAGGTCACTGTAGCCAACAAGATTCGTTTTCCCTCATTAGCACCAGTCAGACAAGAGGTTAGGCTCCTGTGCATAAGTCCACAACAAAGAAAAACCATAAATAGTCCAGATTTTGCTATATTTGTTTGTTTCCTTATACATTGGTTGCTTTTGCAAATGGAATCTATCTTCACAAATCAAAGATGCGTTTGTAATTTGTGTGTAATTTCTCTTAATATTTCTGGATACTTAAAAATTTTACTTTTATTCCAAATGAGAGATCAGCAGAGTGTTGATCACCCTTCCCCATGTGTAGGGTTCCCACAGGTAAGCTCAGCAATGCTCACCTGAAGTCTCCAGCTGTGAACTTTGCCTCAGCAAGGGAAAAGGCAGCTTCTCTCATCACCTCACCCATCAGCAACTTAGTCTGGAAAGAGGGAGAGGAAGGAGGAGGTAACAAATATAAGGCCTTTTGCTCCTTGTGTAGGATGAATGCTTTTAATTTGAATGCTTTTAATTTTTTTAATTAAAAGCATCAAGAATATAATATGGAATTTAAGAAAGAAAAAATCCTGTATCTCAAGCTAACTCTCAAACCACAAATCCTTCATAAAGGAAGAAATTCCATCTGAATGCAACTTCTGATCTCTACCTCCTGGTGTTCCCCGTCATGCAGGAAATGTGTACGTGCAACAAAAAGGCAGTACCACCAAATGCATTAAATCCACTACTATAGCGTCCACCCCTGCTCCACCCTGACATAGCAAATCTCATGTGATGTAGAAGAGGCAGGAAGGAGCTCTAGACATAAAAGAAAACAGAGACTAGAACTGCCTGGAAAAAGGTGAAGAATATTAAGTGTTACAGCATTTCAGTACCACGGCTGCCAGGCAAAGGTACTTCTGCTCACGTGTCCTCGGTAGCCTCACTTACAAAACACAGGTCATCCACAAAGTTGTCCTCTGTTCCAGACTACCTTATGAGGTTAGTAGGATGTTCCCATACTGTACAACTAACTGACAGATAACAGAACTTTTAAACAGAATGAGTCCTGTACAGGAAAATTCTAGTTTACCTACCTCAATGATTTTCTTAAGGATCTGCCTGAATCGAAGAGTCAAAGCATCAGATTTTTTCTTCAAAAGGTTACGACCAGTTTGGGCTCCTTTCAAACGGGCCTTCATGATGGTCTGAGCCCTGTTAAACACAGGAAGAAATAGAAAGGTCCCACATTGTGCTAAAGGATAAGGAAAAAGTCAAAACAAGCTTTCAGACACGGACATGATTCCAACTGTGAAGCAACTAAGAAAAACCAGTGCAGTAAACCAGGATGGGCAATTCAGGAAAGAATTCTAATTTCGCATTTCAAATGAAGAGAACATATCCTCCCCATCAAAGACATTTACAAGGCTAATATCTGTAAAGTTGAATATCACAGAAAAATGACAAGTTATTTTTCAGCTTTTTCAGCTTTTCCTCTTTTCCCGATGATGACTACCCTAAATGAACCATTCTGGTGCCTTTTTGGGAAGTGAAGGATCCCTGTTTCCCTCTACTGCTGTGAAATATGTTTTAGTTTGAATATTTTCTTGATTTTTAACTAAACTGGCACTAGTTATAGCTCAAAAGCACTAAGTGTTAGCTTAAGCTACTGCTTTTTCACACAGCTACTAAACACAAAGGACAGCTCTAACACAGCAATTAAACTCAAGACAACTCTGTGTAAGAAGTGGCCTGCACACTTCCTCTCTGACCTTGGAAAAAATAAGTATAATTAAGATTCTTCCTTTACTTCCCCCACTTTACAGTGCATATTATGAGAATAACGTCTACAAGATGCTTATAACTGGATGCTTAACATCAACACAAGATGCTTGTAACTGAAAAAAGGCGAGTCTTTTCCAAATGCCCAGGATAGAAAGCAGCAAGGTCAAGGAACAGGAAGGTAGTTTTGCTTTCCTACGGAGCTGGTTACGTCCCTGGGGCGGCAGCTCCTTGCGCCAACCGCTCGCTCTGCTCACACCCGCCAGGGACTGGCTCACTCCACCCCGGGCCACATCCCTGCGCTCCGGTGACTGCATTAAACACAGCCGTGTTTACTGTAAAGAAGACAGGGCATTTCTGAAAAGGACCATGTCCAGGGCTGAAGAGGTTCATGGCGGCAAAACCTTTCACAAAGATACAAAGGAACGATTCTGAAAAATCTGTTTTGCTGTTGAATAAAACCATTTGTCTCAGAGGTAGACGGGCCTTATCTGATTGCCCTAACTTACTTTCCTAACAAAGTATCGGCCACATTGTCAGTCTAACACCTCCTTTGAGCGAGGGGCCTGTGAGTTCAGAGCCACTGCACGCGGGCAGCTCGCGCCAGCTCGCGCTCGGGCACCAACCGGCTTCGGTAAGATGGAAACGGCTTTCGAGGCAAAGCCGCTCTCCCCCGGGGGGCTCTGGAGAGAAGCGACACGGCACTATTGCGATAGCCGTTTAGCACCGTGTCGATTCGAGCGTTCCCGTTCTGGCACTGCCTGCTTTTCCTCCCGGGGGACGCCTGACTTCACGACAAACGGCCTGCTGCGAGGATCTGGAAAATAACGGCCGCCGCCGTCCCACGCCCTCTATTTCCTCGACGCTTCCGGGGCGGCCCCGCGCGGCGGCGCGGCCGCGGCTGTGCGGGGCGGCCCTGCGGCCTGCTCCCCACGCGCCAGCGCTGCCGTTACAATCTCCGCGCCGTCAGCATCTGTCTCCCCGCGGGCGAGGCCCCGCGGACCGTTGGCGCGGCCGTTGGCGCCCGCGCGGGGGGCGAGGGGGACGCCCGTGGCGGGGCACTCACATGCGCGACGGGAAGATCTCGATGCGGTCCTTGCCCGACATGCTGCCGGTGCCGGGCGGGCGGGCGCCGCTCCTGCCGCCGCGCGGTCACGTGATGCCGCCGCCTCGCCCCGCCCCGGCCCCGGGAGAGGCCCGG